AAAGCCTGTATAGAACTGCAGTAGGAGAAATAAGCTGTTTGACAGTTTTTACAGACAATGGTCTTTTTAAGATCAAATCATCTTCCCAAAGATGATCACATGGAGGTTTAGAGGAGGAAAAAAATGTGTGTGTTAGATTTATTTTGTTTTATATTACTATATCACTGTTTTGTATTATGTTTGGAATGTGGCAGGCCATTATTCAATAACTTAATCATACTAGTTTATCTGTTCCTTCAGAAGTATGAACTCTTAGAACTGTACTATCCAATATACATGTACACTGAACACGTGAAATGTGGTTGATCTGAACTGGGATGAACTGCAAGTATAAAATAAACATGGGATTTCTAAGGCTTGGTATAAACAGAAAGTAAAATAACTCACTATTCTTTATATCAGCTATATGTTGAAATGAGAATGTATTGGATAGATTGAATTATATAAAACATATCATTCAAAATTATTTCATCTGTTTTTTTTTTAATGTGACTATTAAAAAATATTAAAAGACATGTGGCTCACATTCTTCTTTTGGGCAGCACTGTCCTTGAGAACAACGATTGTATCTTTTCAAATTGAGAACCCAATCTAGTACCGTCCAGTCACTTTTAGATTTGTCATTTATTTTTGCCATTTCTAGTCTCTACCCGCTAAGCCTTTCCTGTTGCAGTAACTATCTGGTATCTCTCCACATGAGTTTGGGGGAGCAGGCGGAGATGTCTTAAATACAAACACAACTCTACGTAAAAGACCAAAAACGATTTAAAGATCTACTACCATTTTGGATCATACTAATCATCTAAGTCTACAAAAGAAATCAAGGAGAACCCAACCTGTTGCTTCCACTTAAAATTATTTAAAATACTCCTCAAAGCTATCTAAAAATAGAGACGCCGATGCCACCTCAGGTAGATCCACACACTCAACCAGAACTTAGTCCAGATACATGTGATCAGTGAAGCTCCTCTCTCTAGGATTTCCTTCCGGAACAGCATATGAACTAACTGCCTACAGAAATGGCTCTTTTTTTTTTTTTTTTTTTTGAGACAGTGTCTCGCTCTGTTGCCCAGGCTGGAGTGCAGTGGTGTGATCTCAGCTCAGTGTAAGCTCCGCCTCCCGGGTTCACGCCATTCTCCTACCTCAGCCTCTCAAGCAGCTGAGACTACAGGCGCCCGCCACCACACTCAACTAATTTTTTTGTATTTTTAGTAGAGATGGGGTTTCAAAGTGTTGGTCAGGATGGTCTCAATCTCCTGACCTCATGATCCACCCACCTCGGCCTCCCAAAGTGCTGGGATTACAAGCGTGAGCCACCGCGCCCGGCCAGAAATGGCTCTCATTTCTTCCCAGAACACGTTGTATTTGGTTTTTTAAAACAAACATGACTGAATTTATCAGATTTACATATGAAAGTTCTAGACAGACATACTCTAAGGATTCTAAATTCTTTGGCCCCCGCCTACTTCTCTAGCATCATCTCAAACCACTCTCTCCCTCATTCAGTCTATCACAGCCAAAACAGTCTGTTTTCTGTTCCTTGAACAAGCCAGATGTTAATCTAAACACCTTTAGACTCACGACTCCTTCCACATGAACACTCTTCCTCGGCCTCACTGCATGGCTGATCCCTTTCTCATCCTTCAGATGTCAGCTAATCGCCTACTTGAAAGGAAGAGTCTTCCTTTAACATACATCTATGAAACCTCCCTAAGTTATCTTATAGTCCTATTCCTTTCCCAACACTTAGAAAAATCTGAAATAATCTTGTCTGCATCCCCCAACTAAAATGTTAAGCGCCCCAAGAACAGGGATCCTGTCTTACTCACTACTGGTATCCCTATTACAAAAAAAGCACAAAAACAAGCACTCAAGCATCTACTTTATGAGTGAATTAAAAAATCAAAAGCAAGCCAGGCACCATGGCTCACTCCTGTAATCCCAGTACTTTGGGAGGCCGAGGCAGGTAGATCACCTGAGGTCAGGAGTTCGAGATCAGCCTGGCCAACATGGTGAAACCTTGTCTTTACCAAAAATACAAAAAGTAGTCCGGCATGGTGGTGCCTGCCTGTAATCCCCAGCTACTTGAGAGGCTGAGGCAGGAGAATTGCTTGAACATGGGAGGTGGAGGCTGCAATGAGCCGAGATCACGCCACTGCACTCCAGCCTGGGCAATAGAGGAAGACTCCATCTCCAAAAAAAGCAAAAACAAAAACAAAGACAGGCCGGGTGCTGCTATTTGATCATGTCTGTAATCCCAGCACTTTGGGAGGCCGAGGCGGGCAGATCACTTGAGGTTAGGAGTTTGAGACCAGCCTAGCCAACATGGTGAAACCCCGTCTCTAATAAAAATACAAAATTAGCTGGGTGTGGTGGTGAGCACCTGTAACTGCAGCTACTCGGGAGGCTGAGGCAGGAGAATCACTTGAACCCAGGAGGCGAAGGTTGCAGTGAGCCAAGATCACGTCATTTCACTGCAGCCTGGGCAACAAGAGTGAGACTCCTTCTCAAAAACAAAACAAAACCAAAAACAAAACCAGAACCATAGTGTTTAAGTGGGAATAGTTAACAGTTACTAAAGAAATTTTTTTTTTTAACTGAAGTTTCAGTCCACTGAGTGGCCAGCAAACTGTATGGAAACAGCCACACCAGGAACATCATTATAAAATTTCAGAATACTTTTGGACAAACAGGTCTAAAAGTTTGAGAGGTTACATGCAAGTAATATGCAAAGGCAACTGACATCTCACCAACAGTGGAAGCCAAAGACAATATAGCAGTATTTTCAAATTCTGAAGGAAAACTGTTTCCAGACTAGAATTCTATACCTGGTCAAACCAGCGATCAGCATGAGGGCAGAGAATAAAATGCATTTTGAAACATGTAATGTCTAAAAAATTTACCTTTTCAGTACTTTTTCCTCAGGAAGCTAACTGAAATACCTTCTTCTCTAAAACAAGGGACTGAATCAAGAAAGAGAAAGAAATGGGAAAAGATAATAGGATGTAGGTAAAATCACCATAATGGCCCAGGCACGACAGCCTAGAGCACACAGCCAGAATGAAGCAGATCAGACGGTATCTCCAAGATAAAATGTATTTCTTTAATTTTTATTTATTTATATTTTTGAGATGGAGTCTTGCTCTGTCATCCAGACTGGAGTGCAGTGGCATGATCTCGGCTCATTGCAGCCTCTGCCTCCTGGGTTCAAGTGATTCTCCTGCCTATGCCTCCCGAGTAGCTGGGAGGCACACGCCAGCCACCACATCCAGTTAATTTTTGTATTTTTAGTAGAGATGGGGTTTTACCATGTTGGCCAGCTGGCCTCCAACTCCTGGCCTCAAGTGATCTGTCCTCCTTGGCCTCCCGAAGTGCTTGGCTTACAGGTGTCAGCTACTGCACTTAGCCCAAGATAGAATTTATAATATACCAAAATGCTTAAATGTATTGTGGAAGATTTACACTTCTGGTTAGAGTTTAGGGAGAAATTACTGATAAAGACATAGAAACTAAGCAAAATAGAGAAAAAGATAATTAAAAACAGAAAACAAATAGTTGTGCAAAAAATGAAAAGTAAACACAACATGTAAAATGACTGGGCTGTGAATAAGCTTTATGTAATCATAATATTGTAAACCATGATACTGCCATGACTAAAACTACATTATAAACAGAGTGACTTTTTTTTTTTTGAGACAGAGTCTCGCTCTGTCGCCCAGGCTGGAGTGCAGTGGCACAATCTCCGCTCACCGCAAGCTCCACCTCCTGGGTTCATGCCATTCTCCTGCCTCAGCCTCCCGAGTAGCTGGGACCACGCCTGGCTAATTTTTTCTATTTTTAGTAGAGACGGGGTTTCACCGTGTTAGCCAGGATGGTCTCAATCTCCTGACCTTGTGATCCGCCTGCCACAGCCTCCCAAAGTGCTGAGATTACAGGCGTGAGCCACCGCGCCCGGCCCCAGAGTGAAAATTAATGTTGGCATATGAGGTGGTCAGGTAAGCCTACCAAAAACTACCACTATATAAGAAGTGAAGTTAATAAATAATAACAAACACTATAAAGCAAAAGAGGCTTATTATTTACAGAGTTATACCAAAAGGAACTGGAGAGTTGAAAATGACTGCTTCTAAGGGGCTGGGAAGGGGAATGTGGAAGAACTGCTCTTTTTCATAAAAAGCCCTAGGGAGCTGATGGTCTGATATATCTACTGTAGTGTTTTTGCACATGTAAAAAGCTTTTGTTTGTTTTTGTTTTTCTGAGACAAGGTCTTGCTCTGTTGCCCAGGCTGGAGGGTAGTGGCAAGATCTCGGCTCACTGCAACCTCTACCTTCTGCATTGAAGTGATTCTCCTGCCTCAGCCTCCCAAGTAGCTGGGATTACAGGTGTCCGCCACCACGCCTGGCTAATTTTTGTATTTTTAGTAGAGACGGGGTTTCACTATGTTGGCCAGGCTGGTCTCGAACTCCCGACATCAAGTGATCACCTGCCTTGGCTTCCCAAAGTGCTGGGATTACAGGCGTGAGCCACCACGCTTGGCTCCCAATTTTAATTAAACACGTAACATAAGCATGAAAAGGGACTGCTTCCCAAAATATTAACAATGATTATAGATGTCAAGTTTATAGACAACCTTTTTCAAACAAATACTATTTCACAAGAATCCAGAACTTCCATTAAGGAATCGTCTGGATAATCAATTCTTTTCTTTTCTTTTTTTTTTTTGAGACAGGGTCTTACTGTCACCCAGGCTGGAATGCAGGGGCATGAACATGGTTCACTGCAGTCTCCAACTACTGAGCTCAAGCTATCCTCCTGCCTCAGCCTCCCAAGCAGCTGGGACCACAGGTGTGCGCCACCATGCCTGGTTAATTTTTTTATTTTTTGTAGAGATAGGACTTCACCATGTTGTACAGGCTGGTCTCGAAATAATCAATTTTTAACATATTATGGGTTTTACAAATTAGTGAAGTTATTAGTTTCTTTTACCACCATGCTTTTACCTTATTTGAACAATGATTCGACTTGCACTGGATCCCAGACACTACTCCAAAAGAACACCCGCAGCACCACCGGCTTTTTCAATTTACAAGTCAGGATACACTTCTGAAATGAGAGAAAATAAGTAGTGATAAAATGGCCACCCAAATGCAGATTCTGTTACTGATGCTTGAAATCTATAAACACAAACCCTACTTTAGCCCTCATCTTTACTCCAAAAGGACCCAAGCTTTTCTCTCAAAGTACGAGATAGTCTGCCTCTGTCTGACATGTTTTCATCCATCTAACCTCCTATAGTATGGAAAGCAAAAACCTTCCTTCCTGTAACCTGATACTTTCACTGGCAATATTTCAGGTGCTAAAGTTTTCATTACGCAAGACTAATTCACAAGCTCCATAAAACTCAACCTGGTGAACCTGACAAGAATCAGATGTTTAAAATAAGACAGAAATGAACAGAGGTATACTAAAATGAATTTAACAAACGCATTTCAAGGTAAAATCACTCCCCATACCCACCCACAAAAGCACAAAAATTCCCTTCTGCTCCAGTTGTTCATTCCCAGATCTATGAACATAGTCATACATCAAAGCTCTGTACAGCGTTTTCCGAAACAAATAGGAAAATCAAGTTCCAAGACCAGGAAGCTCATGTAAGTAATCAGATGTCCTCACTCCTGGCTTATCAAAGCTTTGTTGTTGTTCATATTACTATAACAAAAGGCCGGGGCAGTGGCTCACGCCTGTAATCCCAACACTTTGGGAGGCCAAGGCAGGCTGATCACGAGGTCAGGAGATCGGGACCATCCTGGCTAACACAGTGAAACCTCGTCTCTACTAAAAACACAAAATCAAAATTAGCCGGGCACAGTGGCAGGCGCCTGTAGTCCCAGCTACTCAGGAGGCTGAGGTGGGAAAGTGGCGTGAACCCAGGAGGTGGAGGCTTGCAGTGAGCTGAGACTGCATCACTGCATTCCAGCCTGGGGGACAGAGTGAGACTCCGCCTCAAAACAAACAAACAAACAAAAATTACTAACAGGATACGACTGTCTTAGCTAGATGAGGCTTAGTATTCAGATCCTTTACCAAATAACAATGTCAGTATGTATTTACTTAGTTGATACAAGTACAAATATAGCACTTTCAAAAACTCATTCAAAATACTTTTGCATGTCTCTTGCTATTTATTCTTCTAATTCAGCCTAAGTTACATCAGTCAAAACTTCTTTCCCCCAATTCCTCACTCCAGAGGCACAAGGGGCTCACATCAGTCAGCTCTGCCTAGCTAGTGAGGGAAAACCCATGTCTGCCACAGGACTGCAAACTGCTCTTACCCTGTAACATGCTGAATTTAAAAAACAACCTATTCCAGGCTAGGCGCAGTGGCTCACGCCTGTAATCCCGGTACTTTGGGAGGCCAGGGCGGATGGATCACGAGGTCAGGAGTTTGAGACCAGCCTGGACAACATAGTGAAACCATGCCTCTACTAAAAATACAAAAATTAGCCGGGCATGCTGCCACATGACTGTAATCCCAGCAACTTGGGAGGCTGAGGCAGGAGAATGAAGCAGAGGTTGCAGTGAGCCGAGATCATGCCACTGCATTCCAGCCTGGGTGACAGAACAAGACTCTTGTCTCAAAACAACAAAAAAACACAATCGTTTCCAATACATCCATCTTTCCCTCTAATTCTAACCAGATGGCAAAAGTACACACACAAATATCCCACTTTATTACCCCATCATATTTCCTTTCTATTAATTAACCTCTTCTTGGATATCAGCAAGAATTTTAATCATTTCAACAAGTCTTCAATTCCCCATTGTTGCAATGAGTGGAGAAGCAAATCTGAGGCTCTGGCCTTTAGTTACTCTGTGACAGCAAAGAGACATCTGAAACCCTGAGTCACCCCTGACACCACAGTTGCCCTCCTCCCACTGAGCCTGTCCTGAATGTCATCTGGCCAGCCACAGGCATACTTGTCAGCTTCTATCTCCTGAACCTCCTTTGGCCAAACAGCAGTGTATTAGCAAGGAGACTCCACAATAGACCCTCTTCCCTTCTACACATTACTAATTGTCCACTTATTCAATAAATAATTTATTAAGTACTGACTACATGCCAGGCACTATTCTAGACACTGGAGGTTCAATGATTTAAAAGTCCCTTCATGCCTGGAACTGACATTCTAGAAAGCAGATGGGGGCACATGGAAGAGTAAGAGTTACACAATTTTATATCAAGTATTGAGGGAAGGCCTTTCTAACGTGACAGCTCAGCAGAGACTGGAAGAGAGAGTATACTGGGCTTTATCTGAGGAAACAGCAAATGCAAAGACCCTAGGGAGGAAACATGCTTGGCTGTCTGAGGAAGAGACAAAAATAAGAATGTCTGCAAAGTTCACCGGGCACATCACCTGAGGTCGGGAGTTCAAGATAAGCCTGACCAATGTGGAGAAACCCCGTCTTTACTAAAATACAAAATTAGCCAGGCATGGTGGCTGGTGCCTGCAATCCCAGCTACTCAGGAGGCTAAGGCAGGAGAATCGCTTGAACCTTGGAGACAGAGGTTGCAGTGAGCCAAGATCGTACTACTGCACTCCAGCCTGGGCAACAATAGCGAAACTCCAACTCAAAGAAAAAAAAAAAGGAAAAAAAGAATGTCTGCAATGCAAAAAGTTACCAACCATCTGTTGGTAGATCAGGTCAGAAACATGGCTGAATGGACAGGGCCTTGCAATCATCGTAAGGACTTTGGTTTTCCTCTGGGTAATGAGGGCAGCCACTGGAGTGTTTAGAGCATAAAATAGAAGCATAATTATGTTTCAAAATACCACAAACTGCAATGATACATGCTGGCTGCTGAGTGGAGAACAGATTTTAATGGGCCACGAATAGAAGAAATTAGTAGACAATGCCCAAAATAATCCAGGCAGGCGGATATTGCAGCTCACACCTATAATCCCAAAATTATGGGAGGCTGAGGCAGGAGAATTGCTTGAGCCCAGGAGATAGAGGCTGCAGTGAGCCACGTTCACACTACTGCACTCCAGGCTAAGTGACAGGGCAAGACTTTGTCTCAAAAAATAATAAAATAATAATAATAACCCAGAAAAAGGACAACAGTGCCTTAAGACCACAACGTCACTCAGAATGCTCCCATGTTCCACACATTATTAGACCTTAAATAACGATATGGTTTCCAAATCCAAACAAAAGGTAAACACTAACATTCTAGGACCATACCATTTTTATCCCCTATGGCAAACAAGATTGATTTTTTTTTTCCTTATCTCACCTCATGTACCCCTGGTAATTTTTTTTTTTTTTTGAGAGACGGAGTCTCACTCCCTTGCCCAGGCTGGAGTGCAATGGTGCGATCTCAATTCACTGCAACCTTCATCTCCCGGGATCAAGTAATTCTCCTTCCTCAGCATCCCTAGTAGCTGGGATTACAGGCGTGCACAACCACACCCAGCTTTTTTTTTGTTTTTTGTATTTTTAGTAGAGACAGCGTTTCATCATGTTAGCCAGGCTGGTCTCAAGCTCCTGACCTCAAATGATCTGCCTGCCTCAGCCTCCCAAAGTGCTGGGATTACAGGCATGAGCCACTGCACCCGGCCTGGCAATCTTTTTTTTAATTAGAGACAAGTTCTCACTATGTTGCCCAGGCTGGTTTCGAACACCTGACCTCAAATGATCCACCAGCCTCAGACTCCCAAAGTGCTGGGATTACAGTGTGAGCCACAGCACCTGGCCCCTGGCAATCTTTTATTGAGAACTACAGAACATAAGGAAACACCTTGCCCACTCTTGTGAACCTGAGGTCAAAGTTAGTCCTTTAAACCACCAGGCATAACAAGTTTATGTAATACTTGAGGACTAATGTGTTCTTGTTTCAAAAGCATGATGATAGTAATTAAAAAGTGAAAAAAAGAAGACAGTGTCTTCTATTCAAGTTAACCCAAAGAATCTAATGAATAACAAAACGTAATCTCAGCCATTCCCTGCTGGAAAAAAAAATACTAAGTATAAGATGGCCGGGCGCGGTGGCTCAAGCCTGTAATCCCAGCACTTTGGGAGGCCGAGACGGGCGGATCACAAGGTCAGGAGATCGAGACCATCCTGGCTAACACGGTGAAACCCCATCTCTACTAAAAAAATACAAAAAACTAGCCGGGCGAGGTGGCGGGCGCCTGTAGTCCCAGCTACTTGGGAAGCTGAGGCAGGAGAATGGCGTAAACCTGGGAGGCGTAGCTTGCAGTGAGCTGAGATCCGGCCACTGCTCTCCAGCCTGGGCGACAGAGCGAGACTCCGTCTCAAAAAAAAAAAAAAAAGAATAAGATAATGACAGCTGAGCAAATAAGCCCTTAGGTTTTACCACAGAAAACTGCAATGTCTGCTCCAGGTAGTTTTCATGGTATCACAGGAAATCAAGATTGATCCAAGACTGACAAAATTACTACAGATGGGTTTGGAAAGAAAACAGATCACTTCCAAATGAGTCATGTATACAGAGCCTTCTGTAATAGGGGATAGCAATTATGGCACACAGACCAAATCTAGCCCAATGTCTGGTTTTGTACCATCCATGAGCTAAGAATGGTTTCTGTTTTAAAATTTTTTTTTAATCAAAAGAAGACTTCAGGCCGAGCGCGCTGGCTCATGCCTGTAATCCCAGCACTTTGGGAGGCCAAGGAGGGCAGATCACAAGGTCAGGAGATGGAGACCATCCTGGCTAACACGGTGAAACCCTGCCTCTACTAAAAATACAAAAAATTAGCCGGGTGTGGTGGCGGGCGCCTGTAGTCCTAGCTACTCGGGAGGCTGAGGCAGGAGAATGGTGTGAACCCGGGAGGTGGAGCTTGCAGTGAGCCAAGATCGTGCCACTGCACTCCAGCGTGGGTGACAGAGCAAGACTTCATCTCAAAAAAAAAAAAAAAAAAAAAGGAATACTTCATTACAAGTAAAAATTATGCAATATTCCAACTTCTTTTTTCCCCCATATCAGCTGCTGGGCTAGAGAAATTCCAATTTACACACCCATAAACAATTTTACAGGAACAGTCACATTCATTTACATATGGCTACCTGCAAACTAAGAC